GCAGTGATTGATTGTGTAGGTTGATTTTAACAGATCCAAAGGGTCGTCCAGTGAACAGATCGGTTCAGCTCATCTGCCTCTGTACCTGCGGGAGGGGTGCAAGTAGATGGGGTAATTTTCCAAATCTCTTAGGAGCTGTTTGCATGAGACTTCTGAGCAATGAGAATGAGCAACCTGATTTATAGTGCGTGTGAACCAGTGACCCAGTGAGCTGTGTGGTCCCCGAGTGTACCTTTGCTTCCCTTAGGCAGTGCTGTGAGCAAAGGTGGTTCCCGAAGCCTGCACTATCTGAAGTTTTTCTGTAGCTTCCCACTGTTCCTCGTGGCAGCAGCTGTGTCCAGGGCACGTGCGTGTTCCCTGTCCCCAAGTGCATGTGGGCAGGTGGCAATCATGCTGCTTTATCAGGATGGTGTGAGGTCTTATTTCTGGCTTTATAAGCAGCTGAAAACAGGAATTTGAACGTCTCCCAGTTGACATTTGATACATGAGAAGCAACCTCTGCTTTTCTTTCCCCTTTCTCTCCCAAATTTGCAGTGTTTCCTACTCCCGGGGCACACCACATATTCCCCCTGCCATGCGGCACCGCCTCTCATACTCCTTTCAGCTCGAGTCGGGCTTGTGGTGGGAGGTTTGCTGGAAGCTGGTGAGCGCGGACGGCAGGAGAGGGGATCGAAACAACGCGTCTGTCAGGTGCAAGGCAGATTGTACCATCTAATCCCCCGGCTGTTGTCTGCAGCATTTGTCAAGGCCTCCGCTGGCCGGCTCCATTTCATCAGAGGTATCACTAGCATTCATCTAGGCTGGCAGCATTTCAACAGCTGTTAATCCTCTTTGTATCTTTAAGCACTGTGACCACTGACAAGCTTCTATACTCTGAGGTGTCAAAATATCTCAAGATAGCTGTGGTGATGGTGGTTGGGGTTGGCTTTTTTTTAATCCAGACGCCTTCTGATCTGTTGACCTAGACTGAACCTGATGGAGAAATCTGTGTCCTGGTGTCAGGTTTTTGCTGCTGCTGCTTGATGTTCACGAAGAATTTTGCCTAAAATCTGATTGATTTCTAGTTCCTCATGCTTGCGTTGCTTGGTTTTCTGTTTTACGTGTTACCGCAAGTAGCGCATGTTTCACTGAAGTTGTAAGGAATGTGGTTTAATGTCAATGTGAGAATGAGCTGGCAGGGTTTTCTCTTTATGCTTCAATTACTTTCCTTCCTGAAATAACCCTGAGAACTCCGTCTTCTGCTATATTGTTTTCTTACTTTCTTTGCTATATGTTGTGGAAAGGGCCTGGACAGTGTAGCGAGGTGTAGTAGTGAGTGTTGGAGTTTCTCTGCATGTTTGCAGCCAAGGAGGAATGCTGAATTAAAATTACTCCAAATTTAGCTCTAAGTTTTAAAACTGGTTCCCTTTGGAAGGGGAATTTTTAGTGCAAGAGTGTTTTGGGAGGAGTGGGGGAGCAAGGGTATAGCAACAAATCTGTTGTAGAAAAGCAGCAGGGTAAAAGAAAGTGGTTCTGTTGGTCTTTAGGCTCTAGTTATGTATTTTTATAACTTCTTGGTGTTTTTATTATTTGCTACGAACCATCATTTAATAGCAGGGGAAAATCTTTCAAACTAACATTTCTTTGTTTAGTTTGTTTGTCCTCTCTAGAGAGCTCTCTCCCCATATGACAAAGCTCTGATGTTCTGAAGTTGGCTCCCCTAAGGCTCAGCTTTATTGAGAGAAGTGAAACATTTTAGGTGGTTCATTCATTCTTTCTGTGTCTCTCGTTATTTGAGCCCTTCTGGTGTCCTTTGGTCATGTTTTTAAACTTATTTCTGCAACTAAGACTGCCAGGAGCTTTATTTAATAATAGTTGAGGTCTCATGTTCAACTTTTCCTTTGTGAGCTGCCATTTTATCTCAAGCATCAAATATTGTGAGAGTAAATTAAAAGCAGCGTTGATGTCTTGTAATTTTGTGTTGAATGTTCTCTTTTACTGTGCAACTGAATATTGTTTTACGAAGCTAAAGGACTTCACTAAGACTACGGGCAACTTGGACTGTTTCAAGTGCAAATACCACACCTTGATCCTGCTGAATAGCCCTTGTGTGTGGGTGGCTCTGCTGTAAGTCACGGGAAGTGCATAGGTGGTTCCTGGCTTGGTTCCTCATTTGCAACCTTATCATAAAGTCCTAGATTTTTGTAGGCCATTGGAACATTATCCCCTGCTGTCACAGTGTGACAGGGTAAAATACTGAAAATGAAGCAGATCTTACATCTGAAGATGTATAGATGAGGATACTTGGAAAATTATTCTCTGTAAGTAGAAGCCCCAAATCACAGATCCTGCCATGACTGTGCCCATGCTGAAAGGCCTGTCTCTTGCTCATTTAGCCCATTTGTTGCTCATTTAGTGTTTAGGACAAAAAGTGAATGTGACTTTCCCAAGGTAGGAAAGGGCCTAGAGGCCAAGGAAAACCTGTTTATCAAGTCTGCTTGTTGAACGAACTCAGGTTTAAATGGTAAAACTGTTTTTCTTACTTGGGGAAGCATTTAAAAATACTGATTCATAGCACTGGAAATACTGCTTCACTGGTTTTTAGGGTTTTTGAGGGGGAGGGGGGAAGAAGGAGGCAGAGAAGTCTGACTCAAAGGCAAGAGGCCCAGTTGGATCACATGCAAAGAACTTTCCTTTGCATTTTTAAAACTCAGCAGCTTTCATCTTCAGGTTGAAGGTCTTCTGTGCCCCTCCTTGATCTTCGCATTGTTCCTTGTGGTTTCTTTGAGGTCGGGTCTCTCCTCCTTTCTCTCACTGAGATTCTTGCCTCTCCATTCAGGTTCTCTCTTGCCTGCTTTTCATCAGCTTTAGGATCCAGAGCTATTTCATACTGGTTTCTTTCCCAGCTATTTTTGTCCATGTTTGTAGTTGATGTTGCAGATGGGGCTGACCATAGTACTGGGCAGTTGAACTCTCTCTCTGATAAACTAGGCAAGGTTGTGCCACAAGCACTTTAATCAACAGCGCAACGAATAAATTAATCTATTGGCTATTTTTTCTTTCTTTAGGTGGGTTAAATGCCAACCTCATGGTGGGTCTCACGTACAACATATTTGTTCCTGTTTTCCTCTCCTGCTGTTGTTTCACTGCAGAGTGCTGCAGGCTAATAGTATCTGACGGGGCTACTTCCTATTGCCTGAAAAATGTTTAATTTCACTACCTTGCTTTCTCTCTTTCCCACTTTCTCTCATTTTGATCTCTCAAATCCAGTCCCTCTGAGAAATCAGACAGTATGAAATATGAAAATTGCTTGGATAGTAATTGGAGAAATGGTGAGACTTATGAAACCCATGGAGATAATGCTTACATCTACTTATTCACATTATTTAATTTTTAATGGCAAATTTAATTAATGAAGCACAGGTCTTGTGGTTTCATGTGTGAATAAGTAACAGCAGGGAGCTGAAAGTCATGAGATCTGTTTACAGGACAGAGAAAAAGGCTCCATTAAAAGCTGAACTTTTTATTATAGGAAGGAGTAAAATGGGTTTAATAGCATAGAAGTTTGACCATTATGTAACAAGTAAGTAAATGAAAAATTTAATGACAATTTGCTGGCAAAATGCATTTTGAAGTGGTTACTCATCCATGATTTCTCAGTTTAAGTCTGTCTCCTAGGTCAAAGTTTGGAAAAGCAAAGTCTGTTCTGTGGGTTTTTCGGTATGTGACATAAATTCAGGCACCAGAGATAAAATGCTTAAATATAGCACCTTGAAGCCTAGGCTCTGAAAACCTGTATTAACCTTCCAATTAGCTAAGCTTCACACAACTTCACTGATACAGGCAGCTGTTATCCCTCGCTTGCAGATGGAGAATGGTGACTCGTCCAAGATTGCACAAGTGGCAGAACCGCTAATAGAACTTGGGTTATATCTGTCCTTTCCTTTTTCTAACCACTGAACAATATGTGTCGTCTCATCATGTGCAGGACCACAGCTGCATTTATGGGAAAATAAATGAAGAAGAGCAAGAATAGTATTCTATATAAAATGACCGAATTTGGGGAGAGATGAGATAGCAGCTAGAACCGGCCCTAAATGAATAGCTGTCCTCGCTTTCAGTACCATTTTGTCACTTTTTTGATTGATTAGTGCATATTTTCTGCATGTGCCTTTTCAGACTAAGGGCCTTGCAGATGAGTTTTGAGTGAGGCAATTGCAGCTATTTCAGTATAAAGTCCAGAGGCTTTGCCTAAAGCAGCTCTATCAGCAGTTTAGTAACACAAGACCTTGCAGTGAAGTTGCTGGGGGTGCACAGCCATTCCCTTCTGCTGTTTGTGCCTGGGAGGCTTGTAAGTGCAGCCGAGAGGAGGAATTCATCCTCCATGTTCAGCGGCTGAGCAGTTGTGAACTAAAACTCTTTCCATGCAAGCTCAGGAGAATTTAATGCAAACCTCTTAAGCCCTGCAGCAAGACACTCCAGACTCTGTTTGGCAGTGCCTTAACTGATACCTGATACACCTTCCTATGTTGTTAAAAGGGAAACAGGCTGCATAATTTTCTTTTAAAGAATAAGTAACATAAGTAGAAGCACTGAAATGTAAAATGGATTTTCCAGTGCTAGCAGCCAATTTTGATACTTGCATGTCAGTAACTTACAAGATCCTTCACAGCAATTAAGGAAAAAAGAGAACAAAACACAACCTAACTCAAAATAACTGGGTGCTGGAAACACCTTGTTTTTGTGGTTACATGGAATAATCAAAGCTGACAGTTGGTTGTTAGTGACCTTTTCCCCTCTTTCCCTTCACAAAGGTGAAGCGCGGAATGGAGGACATGTTGTGGCCTTGATGCATTTTGCTGAAAAGAAAATCAACTTTTAAGCATTTTTTTGTGTTCTTTGAACTGAATATGCTGTTTGTTGTTGGAAATCTTTATTAATTATAGATGATAACTTTGTGACGGGATAAGATCTGAGATGCCTTTAATTTTTAGAGCTGAGCATTATATTCTTTGTTTCAGAATGCAGAGATCTACAAGCTGACATCCGAGCAGTACCAGGAGGCAGCCACCAAGGCAGAGGAGTGGATAAAGTGAGGAGTCATTTTTGTTCTTTTCAGCAGTTCCAGTTGCATTTCATAATGCTCTGTGTGTAGCCTCTCGATATTCCCGTAAACGGAGTGTGAAGTTACCTCCTGTCAGGTATTTAGGGGGCTGAGGAGTTATAAGCTAGCATCCTCTCCTTCTGTGCCAAGCTTGACAGAATTTAGTATAAAGTTGTTAGATCTTGCACGGGAGAATGAGCGAGAAGACATGGACTTAGAAAATTCACATTAAATGGGAATATTTACTAGGGTTTTCAAAATGGCAATGGAACATGTTTAATCTGTTCAAACTTTGACCCAATGTGTTTAACCTACACATTGCAGCATTGGGCTAGTGCATGGGAGTAGGAAAAATGGCACCACTTCTAAAATTTTCATTGTCCAGGGAAGAAAAAGGTAAACAGCCTAAATCTTACCCCTGTAAATTTCAGTCAAAATAGAGTTGTAATTATCATGAATGTTTTCTTAGAATGGGTGCAATGATTTTTCTGACCTTTTTTATTGGCCTTAGCACAATTAGCGGACCTTTAACGTTGTCTTTTTACCATGAGCATATTTAGTGTCTAAATTCCATTTGTATTTGCCAGTAGTGTTATATAGCTTATTGTTCCACATGCACTAACAGCTGTCCAAGAAAAAATATTTTCTATAATTCTTTAATATTAATGAGTCCAAAGCAATTACACTATCAAGAGCAGCACTCGGATCTCAGTTGGGTAAACAGTTGGCCAACATGCAGTAAACTGGAGTAGCAACATATGTAGTCCAGTTGGGTCCAGTCCAGACTGTATGATACTTAATTGCATAAATAGATAATATAGTAGTGATGAATATGTTAGTGGGGTGTGCAGTATATTGTGCTGTCTTTATTTAAATTTATGTTTGGCTGCCAAAGCATCACATAACCTGTTGTAATTTCATATTTCTGTTTGGACAGTCAAGTTGCTAAAGAAGCCAAAACAAGGCAGCTAACACATTGCGTGCATTTTCATGCAGTTTTCCATAGTAGAATTCTAAATTCTGGTTTTAAATAAGTTTTAAAAATTCATAGGACATAAAGTTCTGACAGTCTGATCAGTTCAGTCTTTTCTTGGATTTGCTTCCGCAGATGTGCGATCAGTTGTTTGGAACACATGTAGCAATGATTTATCCTTGTGACTTTGTAAAGGAAGAGATTGGGACCTTGGATTATGTTCTTTACTTGCTATTACAGACTGTTACTAACCTATTTTTTATAGTACTCTTAAGTTTGGTTCCTGAGGTTTCAGTTTCATTTGGTCTCTTCTGTTTCTTGTGGAGATGAAGACTGGTAATGTAGGAAACTCAGGAATGCAACCATTTCTCGTAATGGCTAGTGGCTGAGACCAACGCAAATGCTAATGACTTCTTTCTTTCAAGATTCAGAAAATGTGTTTATGGTCTCTTAGGGGTTCCTTTCCCTTTTCTTTGAGCCTTCATCATCTGCCAGTCCCTGGCTTCTGGCCTTATTGTACAAAGCCCTTCTATTTGAAGGCCGTATGAACTTGAGCCGTCATAACGGGACAGACTCCTTAGGCTCTCTTCCTCGCAGCCGAAAGAGACACCTGCCCTAATGTGAATTTTGTGTGAAAAGATAACATGGCTGGGGGATGCCTTGAGAAGGGACGAGCTGTGTGGCACTAGTGAAACTGAGGGAGAAGGTGAACATCATACTTTCTATTTCTTTACAGTAGAAATTGCCAGCAATAGCCAGGATTGCACTGAGCTGTGTGCTGGAGTGCATGATCTGGGATAATGCCCTTTGATAATTGTACATGCAGGAAGAATCATTGCTTTGCCCCATCAGCCTGCAGTGTATGCACCTCTTACAGCAGTATGCAGTGATCCTTTTTGGGATCATCGCCTTGGTGCACAACGCGCCGTACAAACACGCTCAAAGAGTGCACATGCCTCACATGTGGGTCATGATAAGGCTGGGACAGGGACAGGGAAACTTCCTTCGTACATTGGCATTCATGCTTAATTGGTAGGACTTGAAGTCTGCATGTTGTGAGGTCCTCTTGTTAGGTGTTGTACATTCAAGTCTTTCTACGGCATGTTTATGGTAATAAATTACAAGATGCTGTGACTTCAGTGGAAAGAATAGTTTGCTCATCCTGTTTTGCGCTTTCTTATTAGACACACAAGCACAGTAAGTGCTAAGATAGGTAAGACTGATTTGTGCAGATCTTGTAGCTTGGTTGGCAGGAATAAACTGACACTCCAGCAAAATTACATGAACTGGAATATAGCCGAAGTATGAATGAAGCGCAGGTCTGCCTGCTTCCAGTGCTGGACTACGACAGCTCCTGTAACGAAAGGAAACCAGGAGTGGCACTTTCTCCATCTGCAGAGGAGAGTGCATCTTTTTCCCATAGTGTCTCTTCCCTAGCTTATATCATCCCTTTTTCACTGAACTCTTTGACCTACCCCTGGCACTTGTGCCTTGTGAGACCTATCTACCCTGTATTTGTTGTCTTCTGCCACTGTGTATTAGCATAGCTGATGGAAGAAGAGGGGAATAGAGCTGAGGCTGTTTCCACAGTGAGTACCCTGTTTTTCGGAGTCCATGTTGAAGCAAAGATAAGAAATATCTGAAACAAAAAAACAGTGTTTTCTTGGCACTTACTGACTTTTGTAATTCCGTTATCAACACCTACAGCTCTGCACAAGTGGTCAAGTGTTCCACAGACTATTTCCTCTCCTTAGTGATTATCAAGCATTGCAGGACTTAGGAATATTGTACAAGCTTTCCACCAGTGACCCTTCACAGCGTGCCTGCGAGGTAGGCAGGTGACCTTCCTATCTCCCTTTGTATAGAAACAGAAGTGAAGTACTTAGTGCTGAGCTTCATATTAAATCACCGACACAGTCATTAACTCTTGGTTTCTACTTCAAGGTAGGATGCTAGGCTTGATGCCTGCATGGCCTGACTTCTTCAGTTGACTTTGCTCCTCACCTCTTCACCTGAACCCAGCCTGCTCCTGTCTCTGCAATCCTCCTACCACAGCGTCTCCTTCTGCTTTGTTCTGGGCTCTGTCCAACCTGTTTCTTTCTCCCAGGAAGAAGATCCTAGCAACAAGAAACCACTGAGCACAGCTTTCAGCACCTTAAGCAACTTGCCCTTGTTGCTTACATGCTGTGGTGAATTGGACAGTTGCCACGGACATATTGTCTCAATGATGTTGTTATAATTGGTGCATTATTATTTTTCTCTTCTGTTAACCAACAGAATTAAAGTCTGGGGACCTAGAACTTTTTTCCCCCCTTCCTTCCCTGTTTAGCAAACTGTGCACATCAGTAACCACCCACAAAGGAAGCAGCGTGTAAATAAAAAGCCAGTGCTCCCCGCCCTTCACTTCATTCCACATCCTTTTCTCAGTGTTCATAGAGCCATGACTCAGACTGGGTTTAGAGAAGACAACTTGCTAATCCCCTCCCCGCTACAGAGACTAAAATGGCATTTCATTCCAAGCTCTATTAATGCGCTCGCTCCGGCGATAAAGCAGCACTCCCAAAAGGCAGTGGCCAAATTTTTTTTCTGTTGCGTTGTCTTTGTCTTCTTTTGAGTGTTACATTTAGATTAGCTTCTGAGGATTAAATGTTATTACAGTCCCTGAATCTGTTAAGGGGAAGGAAAAAAACATCAGTAAAGAGGTTATGGCTTAGTGCAGGCACTCTAGATTTATTCTCAAAATGCTGGTTTTTTTTTTAAATTTTATTTATTTTCTTTTGTGAAGGTTGTCTTATCACATTTTTATTTTATTTTTGTAGTTGTTAAATTTGGATGCAAGAATTGGCATGGGTGGGGGTGTGACTCTCTCTAAAAGGTAAAGCTACAGGAGTGGAGTGAGGGGATTAGGAAGCTGTTAAAAGATAAAATTGTTCTGAAGCAGTTTCCCTCTGAGATCTCCTTATAGTTTGCAGAACTCTTTCTGAAGCTGCTTACCGATGGCTGTGTTGCTTTGCATGTTGTGCTGAGAGGACAGCATATGCTTTGCACTGTTATCAAGGAGTGCATAAAGAACATCGGTATCTTATCCTGATAGGGATCAGCCTTGAATCCGAGGCAGCTTTCCAATGGAGAAACTGCCAAAGAGATTTACTCCATATGGGACTTAGTATCTAAGAGTTCCATTTAACGGTCCTAAGATCTTTAAACTTAATGGACATGAGTATTTAAGGTGATTATGTTAGAGAAACTGGCACGTAGTAAGTATCCTCCTGGGCTGAACGTGGAGTAGAGAACCACACTGACTCAGTGGGGGTAGGGGGAGAAAGTTCATAGATAGACTGTCCGCTGTGAACAGGGAATTTATGGCTTGCTTTCAGTACTCATGGAAATGAAGGTTTTATTGAATTGCACAAAATTTTACGAGTCTGATGGCCCCTCAATTAAAATGGCAACACTAACTGGAACCTGGAGGAACTACCTTTTCTTTTTTTCTTCTTTTTTTTCTTGTTTGTGTAGATCTGGAAAGTTTATAAGATACTTATGTGGTGATACTTGAGTTTATTAATCTTGAAATGTACTACGAGGCCTCAGGTATTTCAACAGAGGGCTGTGCCCAGGAGTCAAGCTCTGAAATAGTTATTATGTGGACAGTCGTGAAGCCCAAGGAGAGGGAGGGTAAAGACATCATAGTTTTCAAAGTTGCTCTGGGATTTCTCCTATCATTAGATTAGATAAATGATTAATTCAGTGTTGAAATTAAGAGCCTCTGCAATAGGGATTTAAGAGTTTTCAGGAATAAAAGACTGATTACTGCTGGGAGCTCATCCCCAGCCTTATATCAACATAGTGCTTTTGTGCCCTGCAATGATGATACCTTCACAAAAAATGGTTTGGCTCCATCCCCATGCTGTTCTTCCCTCAGCACTTGGTTTGTGTTAGTTTTTCCTACTTCTGTCTGTGCTGAGTCTGTTTCGTGTAATCTTTAAATAAAGAGATGAGTTATTAGTCAAAGCTT